AGGACAACATCCGCAATGTTTAGTGAAGCATATTCATCATGGGAAAACGCAGCCCAGCTTAAACGGGACTATTCCCATTTCTCGTTCCCATCGCTGCAACTCCTGTGTAGCCAGGATCTACAGCTTAACAGGCAATAAAAGTCAGTCACAGCTTGGGAGAGAGATTTCATTATGCAATGTCTGGTAATATTCCCTTTTCAATACTTACTTTTGAATAACCGCACCTCCAAACACGAAGGCGTGTGACCAGGCCTTTACTCTGGAATCCCAACAGCATTCCCTTTGCTTCTAAACTCCTTAGTCACGAGTCAAATGTGGCCCAAAGCAAGTTATCCCCGAGTGTGAATTTTGAGCAGGTCCATTAGTTCAGCTGTGCAGGCAGTTGGCGTCGATGCTGTTGACCTCGTTAGTTGCCGTTACGGTAAATTGGGTTATGTATGAGGGTCAGAACATGCACAATGGGGAATATTTATTGCGTTAGCCAAATTTCGTGGAACACTTAACTTGGTTATATCAGAAACAATGTATACAACTTGCAATTTATTCTAAAATAGTATCAAATTTAAAGCTTCGCTTATAGATTTTACATTAAGCATTTTGACTGAATTGGTCACCGAACTGAATTGCAAATTACAAAGTTTTGTAACAGGGATCAGAGTTATCTCTAAAAGAAACAATAATTTTTGTAAAAAGATGATGAGATTTTTGGAGAAAGTAGCGTGACTTGTGACTCTCTCCTCATAAATTATGATCACAAAGACAGAAATAACGAAAACTTCGTTGCTGATCATAATACGTACGGAGAAAATTGCATGACGCAATTAACGTACTCAGGTACATTAAGCATCATAGGTACCAAGACATTGTAGTGTTGTTCATGCGTCCAGGCCGAGTCCCAGTCGCGTAATGTGTTTAGCTGTGCTCCGGCTATACCACGTATTAGCTCGTCAAAGGATGGATTAGGCAGACTTGCCCGCCTCACGCGTGCACGGATCGGATTAGTGCCGTGATGGCTACGTAGCGGCCGTGAATGTCTTGGGAGTTAGAATGGACATGGCGCACAATTTTTGTTGAAGATGCCAAAAAAACTACAAAAAATTAGAATAATACTGTATTTTTACTTTTTTGATATCTTTAAAAATGACTGAAATATTCNTGATCAAAGAAAAAAGAACTCGCAAGGTACATTAAACGAGGTCACAAAATTCGGAAAGAACATTGCGAAATCTATTTATTCACCAATTTTCAAAAATTCCGGAAAACTTTCCAAGTAAAATTAACAAATAACTGGACTATTTAGGGGGCGTCCATAAATTACGTGAGACTTTTAGCGGGGGGGAGGGGGTCAACGAAAACCTCACTAAATCTCACGTGGGGGAGAGGGGGGGTTTCGAAAAATATCACGTAAATTTTCCCGCAAGAAATAGAGTAAAATTGCCAGAAAACTGGGTTATTGAAGTAAAAAAAATGATTTTTTTATGATGATAATGACAATTTATTCTAAACCGTCTTATCAAATTAAACTAAAAATGCCTCCATCTGCATTTGTGAACACTAAAGATGCAGAATAAATGTCGAAATTAAGAAAATTCGAAATTAAAAAAAAAACATCATCGGCATCACTATTGCGAAAATATATAAAAATGGTTACTTTTTTAACGCCTAGTTTGAAATGTGATTGAACGATGACAACTAACAACAGTTGTCAGTTAGGTAAAATTTTATTTTAGTTGGAAAAAGACAAAAAGTGGTAAATGGGTTAACGTGCGGGGGCTGCAAAATCATGTTGTGACGTCACGCGCGAATATTGGTTGAAAATTTTAAAATGTCCGTAAACTTCTCGAGGCTCTATCTTCGGTAATACTGGATGGATTGAGGTGAAATAAAAACTACTGTAATGTGTGTGATCTAAACTTTAAATTAAGTCATAATTTAACTTAATATTACAACTTATGCGTGTTGTCCATTGTCTGTAGACGTAAACATTTGGTATTTATTTTGGTTTAAATATTTTAGATGAAGTGTTTACCTAATAATAAATCTTTGGACATTTTCGCTGCGTTATCGAGTTCCAAATTATGTAAAGCTTGTGCCGTCTGTATTGTATCCGACAATGGCGTTAAAAGTCAAAGTCAAAGTTTTTTATTCAGTATTTCCGCCCTTTCCAGGGCGCTTATACACGTTCCAAATATATGTATCTTGCCCTACCACCACTTCGGGACACATAACGGGCTGGTGCTGAGAAGAAGTGGCGGAAGAAACTGAGTTACCTTTGTCAATAAAGAACGTAGTACATGAAATACTAGATCTTGAATAGAATGCAGTAAAAAAATGAAAAGTTCATTCAAGTCCAATATTTAATACTGAAATGTTCCCATTGTGTTTGCCAATTATCGCCCAAGTTTCCGGTTGTAACGCAAAAGTGCCATCTACAGGTTTCATTAACGGTCCCTCACCGGCCTCATACATATTTGAGTGGAGTGAGTAATGAAATAAAAATTCCCTCTCGTTTCCATTCCGCCGCGTTCAGGTAATAACCGGTTTGCGCCGGTCACCCTAATGTCTTAGGGAAGTCCTGTTGATGAAGCGGAAAAACTTACGTTTTTTTGAATCGCGGTGTCAGTACCTTTGATATGGGTCTGAAAGTAAGATAATGTATATTTGAAAGAAGTTTATTACCTTTAGTATTGGGAAACTAACATTGTGGTGAAAGAATTCAATTTTTAGATTAGCTTGTCACTAGAATACATACCTACTAGTAAAAAAATAATGTTAACGTTTTGCACATCTTACAATAACTATAATAAACGTCAAATGTCAGTCTTATTCCATACAAAAACACCGGTTATGGTTACAATTACGGTTAAAGTAAATTGGTGCAACTTAGCCTTAGACACTAACTTAATATGTCTACATACGAGTACACTACAAACTAACATCATTAGCAAGCTGTGAAATGCTTTGCACGAAACAGCTAAGCTGGACATTCCCAATGAAGCCGTTCCAAGAGCCGCCCGGACCGTATCAGCTGGCCGGCGGAAGATTTAATACCAACTGGAACCATTTCTTCAGCCGCAGCCTTGTTTTTGGCACAGCGCGATAGACATTAGGTTAGGGCGTAAGTTGCAAGCGATGAGCGGTAGTTTCGATTTGCCTCTAATATTTCCGTCTGCCACCCTAATGTGAAAGAACCATGTTTCCATGTCTCGAAATAATTTAAACTCAACTGCTTTGAGACACTAACGCGTATCAGGCCTGGAAAGAAAGAGCTCATGAAACTGCAGTCACTTTGACAGCCCATTTTCAAAGATTATATTATTATTAATGCGAGCTAAGCAGATGTCTTATGGTGTAAATTCATCATCAGGTAACTAATATACAACACTGCTCGTAGTTTCATGCATGTCTTAGTGCTCATGTTCTGTGCACAACTTGGCATCCATGGTTTAATTTGCTTACAACTTGGTCGCGTTAACTGCACACCTAGCTGCCATAATGTCACATCGACGCTCTGGTACGGGACAGGGCGAATGCGGGAAGATGTGCGGGTAAGAGGGAGGGAGAATCGCATTCCAGCAAGGTGCCTAATTAGCTCGATCGGATTGTAAGCACGTGTCCGGGTTTATTTAGTAGTTTATAATGTCTCGCGTCCTCCTACGGGTTGAACCATACATTCCGCGCACAAGCCAGGTCCAGCGGCACCTGCGGCACAATTTACCGACAACTTTACAGCGGCCTGGCGACTTGCCGCCCGTTGCCGCCCTTGTGACTTTATCAAGCCGCTGCCTTAATTTCGGCTGTTTATTATGCTAGAAAGGTGTGAAAAAATGCCACTTGCCACGCTTGTTCGTGAGGTAGAGCAAGTTTTATGTAAAGAATTACATGTTCGTAGAGCGCCTATATTAATTTTCGAATTTAATTTTACGCAAATACTAAACAATGTTATTAATCGCTAGTTCAGGTAAAGAATCATGTAATATATTCGCATGAGAAGCCGGGGCGAGCCTCTAGTACAGAAATAAATTAAAATGTGTACCAATACAATATCCACTCGATTACAAAAGCATTGCTCATTCAAATTGGGTAGAATAAGCTACAGGCGGCGGCGACAGTGGAGATGAATAAAGTAGTTTTTATTCAAGGACCATTATTACGTAATTGAGCCGTCAAACTAGTTTACCGATTTATCCATCAGTATAACGTCAGCTGTTAAGAAAATTTGAGATATTCAGCTATCAGTTCTGAACCCTGAAGTCAAGATTTGAAGAATTAGAAGGACAATAAATTAATGAATGTAGGTCTAACATATTCCAATACTGATTAATATCCTACCCCTATCAATACTTCGGGTCAATAAAGTGAAAGTGCTAAGAAAAAGCAGTGTAAATGTGGTTGAGACCGTCAATAGTTCAAAAAATATTAATTGATATAACTCTAAAACTGGTCCTTTTAATTAGAGCTACTGAATAATTTTTCACTGTATGAGCTCCACCCAATATTGTGGAAACTGAAAATTGAATTCGCGGCAAAAGTACCGCGTCGATTGGTTTGGTCACCCAAGATCCCATATTGGGTTTCATAAATTAATAATCTAAAGATTGAAAGACTGTATTTTGGCTTTGATGATTTTTGCTTACGGATTATAGAAAATAGGGCTTTACAGAGCAATAGAAATGTTTCTGTAATGTGAGCAGTATTTCACCTAATTTGTGAAGTTTAACATTTTGAAAATAATCGTTTATTTGCTTTAATATCACGTTGTAAGCACATAACAACGACCTATTCTGATGCTACCTTTCCTGCATTTTTGCCGTTTTATCGATTTTACGCAATAAACCTACGTTTATCGTCTAAAATCATCGATAAGATTTTATCACGGCGCGCATCCTAGCACGGCTGAAGTAGGTATTATACTCTCTTTACTACTGTTTAGTTACGTTATCGGCATTGCTTATCTATTGTCAATAACGTTGACATTTTCGACAATACCTTACGACGAACTACATATTATAGTTACTTCCCACATTACATGTTTGTAACGCATTAAAACAAAGCAGCATGCCGGTCGTGCGCCGATAAATTGCCAGCGGGTAGTCGCTGAGCAAACTCGGCACGTCACTCAGCGCGGGGCCAGCGATAAATTCGTCTACTTCAGTGCCTCTTCGCGTTAGATGCAGAACGGAGAGAACGGCTAGCTTGTTCTGCATAGAACTACGAGTATGTTGTTCTGTGGAGTAAACGATATGTCACATACTCTCAAAATTCTTCTCAGCATTAGCCTATAATGTTGTCCCGAAATGGTGGTAGAGCAAGCTATATTTGGGACGTGTTTATGTGCCCTAAAAAGGACCTAGATTCTATTAAATACTTTAATGGCAATTCAACACAACCGATATTTATCTACACTTTGACCAGGATTACCACAGTCTACAATGGAATCCCAAATCGGAGAATACATAAAACTTATATCTGCCTAACAATTTATGCCCGTTTGCACCATAAATCCCAAATTTTTAAGTGACTCCTATGGTAACACTTATCAGTATCGAATTTCGTTTTCATAGGGGTCACTTAAAAATTAGGGATTGATGGTGAAAATGGGCATTAGATTTAAACAACGCCCTAAGCTGAAGCTTTTTCCGTTATTTTATTAAGATGCTTTGTTGAGCTGTTTTGTTTCAAGCAAAATTGACAGTGTGTTTTATTTGGTCTACAATCAGGCCCACATATTTTTTTCCTGCGGAAACGGCCGAAACTCTCGTATGGCACGCAACATCGTGTTTAGCATTCGGATAATGTTGGTCATAGTCACTAAACGCCGTACTATGCCGGCGGTGATAAACGACGCGTGATATGACTGGTATCAATCATAGAGACAGCCAATTTTGCGAAAGCTAGATCGTGTGTGATATTCAGATTATGTTTGGTTCAAATTTAATTTTGAATTGCGTGTTATAATGCATTGATTTGTTAAACCAAAATACATTTAGAGCTTTCAATTCAAGCAGAATATTATGTTACAATATCAATTATACAGTTATTATCATAATTATGACCATTTGCTTTGCGTGAAACCGTCTCAATTTCAGCCACTCTTGTTTCAATATCATTAAGAACAATTCAGGAATACAACAAAATCATGTACACGCGTTTGTTATATTGAATTAGACAATAAACAGGCGGAAAAATATATTCGTTCTTAAGCGTTATGATGATCCGTAACTAAACAAAAAATATGGTGTACCTAGTACCTTAGCACAATAAATTATATCGCCGAGGCAATGTCGTTTTTTGTCGTGAAATAATACGTCGTACTTCAAAATTGTTTATTGTCTTCTTTATTTTCATTGTTCTTACTTATTCTATCTATTACCGTCTGAATAAGGGATTGATTCCATTATAATTCCGTTCCCATTTGTTAAATTACCTGAATAATTCGGTTAGATCTGATTTTGTCCAAAAAGTGTCCGACCTATTTACTTGTGAGCTGTTTTTCACCATATTTTGATTGACAGTTCATCCACTTATTGTGAATAATTATCTCATTCTGCAATTTGATATCTCAAGAAAATGCTAGTCATCGGTAGGGGTTTCTTTAGTATTCATATTATTTGGGTTTTTTCAAGAAGAGATCAAATCAGAGGACAAAAATTTCAATTTTAAGCGTGTGAAAATTTTAGTGACGATTTTATAACCTCGTAGTATCTAGAGTTAAGTTCTCATGAAAATTTTAAGAGCGTTACCCAGTAAGGTCCAGATGAGTCAATGTCAAAGCTACACTGACCATTATAGAATTTAATGAAACTTGCCAATTACTCACTGTTCTTAAGAACACCGATTGCTTGCACCTCCAGTCGGATACTTTCCAGACAGAGTCCGTATTGTGGCCATCATAAATCGAGGCTGGGCCGCCATATGTTCAGTGATAACCCCCGTTACTCTTCCCGGACGAATGGCTGGGTTCCCGATCGCCGCAAAAAATACTGCCGCCACTCCATAGTTTATGTCTATGTCTTTAGGATAGTTCGTTAAGGGCCATCTGGCCGATACTACAGATTTATTTTATTGTTGTCAAGGTGTAACTGTTGAAATGGACGACACTGTTAGCAAAAATACAAAGCAATTTTACACGTTTAGTGGCTTTAGGAGTCCGTAACATTAGATTAGAGTTCTCTTAAAATGATAACATAAATGTCATATCATATCATATCTTTGCATTAATTTCTCAATTACTTACCTCAAATGTAACTTAATGCAGTAACATTTACCTGCTAATGATTATAATCAACATGACTAATTAATACAATTTACTCCCGCGTTAACTATTGAACAATATTATAGGAGGATTCAGTAAGCTCGCATGAAGCTACGTAAAAATTATAGATCTTTTTAGTCGAGTGACATGTAACAATAAAGTATTAAACAGTCGTTCTGGTCACATCTGGATGGTACCTACCTATGTGTCAAAAAGTTTGAGTCTAGTTTTCCAAGGAAGAAAGTAAAGGAAAAGGGATGACAAGTCAAAATCAAAATCAAAATTTTCTTTATTTGTTTAGACTAATTAAATTAGTATGTACTTGCAAATCGTCAAATGCTCTTAAGGAGCCTATACATGTCTCATTCTTTTTTTGCCCTACCAGCGCTTCGAGACAAGCAACCCGATACTAGATATTTCGTAAACGTATCGTTTCTACTTAGCTTCGGTGGATGTTAATTAGAGACGATGGGAATTGTGCGATCTAGTGGCTTTTTCTTACATAAATCGAGAATGTGACGTAGGTACGATAAACACATAAAATTCGTGCAAATCTCTGCTTTGCATTCAACCCGCTACCCCACTTATCTCCGCTCATTACTTCTTCGCATTGGGAAGATACTTTTCCTGTTACAGCACCAATTTCCGCACATCTATATGTATTTCTCCTCTCCGTATTGAGAAAACTGGGCCAGGCTGTCTTGGCTTCCAATAACCTACAGTTTNAATTCTTTCCTATTTTGTCATTACGGCCAAATGACGTCCACTGCTGGACAAAGGCGAGAGGCATTTGGGTTTTCCATGGGTTTTTTATAATGAAAAGTCCTGCGCTGCCTGCATTCAGGTACTTCTCGCGACCTTTACCAGATCGTCGGTCCACCTAGTAGGAGGCCTGCCCACGCTACGTCTTCCAGCCCGTGCCGTGGTCACCACTCAAGAAATTTTCTACCCCAATGGCCATCGTCTCTACGAGCTATGTGTCCCGCCCACTGCCACTTGATTTTAGCAATTCTGCATGCTATGTCGGTCACTTTGGTTCTCCTGCGGATCTCCTCATTTCTGATTCGATCATGCATTCGGAAACCCCGAGCATAGCCCGCTCCATCACCCTTTGGGTGACTTTGAGCCTTCTTATAAGGCCGCGACCACGTTTCAGATCCTTAAACTTTCCTATTTATTTCACGACTAGCTTTTGCCTTTGGCTTCACCCGCGTGAAATTTAGTGTCACAGATCGGCATAAATAAATTATTATAGCCTATATGTTGATCTGGGTTACAAACAATAATATTGTACAGTTTCAACAAAATCCGTTGAGTACTTTTTGCGTAAAGGGGTAACAAACCTGAGACACAGGAATCTTCCTAGTTCAGGTATCAACCACCAACATTCTTACTTTTTATTTTTCCTGATTGTTTGTTATCATAATATTATCTGTTATGTTGGTGAGAAATAAACATTACTTTACTTTATTTTAAACTTCCAGACATCCAGACATCCAAACTTTCGCATTTATAATATTAGTGGGATACAATTATGTAATGTAGAAACAAACAAGACAAAAAAAATGTATACTTCAGCAACGCGAATTTTTTTATACTTCAGCATATTTAGGACACCCGGCAGCGTGTCCTGCCATGATCAAAGAAAAAAGAACTCGCAAGGTACATTAAACGAGGTCACAAAATTCGGAAAGAACATTGCGAAATCTATTTATTCACCAATTTTCAAAAATTCCGGAAAACTTTCCAAGTAAAATTAACAAATAACTGGACTATTTAGGGGGCGTCCATAAATTACGTGAGACTTTTAGCGGGGGGGAGGGGGTCAACGAAAACCTCACTAAATCTCNCTGACAGGCACGAAAAACAAAGCTTCTGTTCAGTCACGAAGCTCCACCGGTCATCAATCGGAAGACGCTTAAATTCGGCGCAATCGTTCAATGTGTGCTTGCCTTTACATCTGACACACGTACTAGTAGGTGTTGATACCGGCGTCGTCGTCAAAACGCATTTCTTGTCGTAATGTACCTTCGGTCTATTTTCTGTCGTCGCACGCGTCGGCGCTACAATGGTTGCCGCGTTCGCTACGTCCATTAGCCATTCCGATAGCTCATTCAGGGTCAATACCGAGCTTTGCATATTGTTGGCTACGTGAAATGACCACTGGTAGCGGAGGTTGGATGGCAGCTTATTAACAACCTCTTTCATAAGTAGCGGATTTGTCAGGTGGCCAGTCTCCTTGGTAGCGTGCATAGTTGCAACGACGTTCTGTACTATGGTAGCGAACTCGATGAGGTGATTTATGTCATCATGACGTATGAATTTGGTTTGAGTTNGGATGAGGATGAGGATGAGGATGAGGATGAGGATGAGGATGAGGATGAGGATGAGGATGAGGATGAGGATGAGGATGAGGATGAGGATGAGGATGAGGATGAGGATGAGGATGAGGATGAGGATGAGGATGAGGATGAGGATGAGGATGAGGATGAAAAAAGAAGTAGGTAAGTACAATCTTCATTGTCACGATGGAGTAGATATAGGTACTTTAGTAGTAGTATCTTCGTAATGACCTCATAGCATCAATCACCTTGAGCACCAGTAGTCGCCTGTACGCCGCGCTGGTGTGGCCCGTCGCGGCCGCCGTGGCCGCGCCCACCGCCTTCATACCCTCGCCGCGGCACTTCCACGCGGGGGAGGCGGCCAAGGCTTGCACCGTCAATACCAACGTCGGGTGAGTGGGAGACGGACGGAGACGGACGGAGGGGGAGGGGGAGGGGGAGACGGACAGACGGAGAGAAGGAGAGAAGGAGAGACGGAGGGACGGAGAAAGAGAGAGAGAGAGAGGGCAATAGAGACATAAAGAAAGTAAGAAAGAGAGAGAGTGTGAGAGAGAAAGGGAGTGTGAAAGAAAGAAAGAGATAAAAAGAGAAAGAGAAAAAGTTTCTTCCTCATGATACCACGTCATAGCATCGCAACTAGTGAAAAAGAGAAAGAGATAGAAGTAGTAGGTAATATCGTCTTTGTCACTATCGGCTGGAGTAGGTACTTTAGTAGTATCATCCTATTGACGTCATAGCATCAGCATCACGAGCACCAGTAGTCGGCGCCTTGGTCCCGCGCGCGCGAGCCCGGCAGGCGCGCTTGTATGCCGTCCTGGTGTGGCCCGTCGCGGCCGCCGTCCACCGCCTTCATACCCTCGCCGAGGCACTTCCACCCCGGAGAGGCGGCTAAGGCTTGCACCGTCAACACCAACGTCGGGTGAGTGGGAGACGGAGGGACAGGGACAGGGACAGGGACAGGGACAGGGACAGGGACAGGGACAGGGACAGGGACCGTCCTCTGAGCATCTCTTCCGATTTTTGCAGGTCTTGAGTTGGTGGTTTTCTGACAGGCACGAAAAACAAAGCTTCTGTTCAGTCACGAAGCTCCACCGGTCATCAATCGGAAGACGCTTAAATTCGGCGCAATCGTTCAATGTGTGCTTGCCTTTACATCTGACACACGTACTAGTAGGTGTTGATACCGGCGTCGTCGTCAAAACGCATTTCTTGTCGTAATGTACCTTCGGTCTATTTTCTGTCGTCGCACGCGTCGGCGCTACAATGGTTGCCGCGTTCGCTACGTCCATTAGCCATTCCGATAGCTCATTCAGGGTCAATACCGAGCTTTGCATATTGTTGGCTACGTGAAATGACCACTGGTAGCGGAGGTTGGATGGCAGCTTATTAACAACCTCTTTCATAAGTAGCGGATTTGTCAGGTGGCCAGTCTCCTTGGTAGCGTGCATAGTTGCAACGACGTTCTGTACTATGGTAGCGAACTCGATGAGGTGATTTATGTCATCATGACGTATGAATTTGGTTTGAGTTATTTTTGTCAACATGTTCTCTATGATGTATTCCGGTCTACCAAATCGAATTTTCAGTGTCTTAATAATTTTGTCCAAATTAGTAGCGCTAATGAGTAAAGCGGACACCGACTCGCGTGCACTCCCCTTCAAACACCTTGAAAGTCTGGCAATATTTTCATCATCCGAGTAGTCGCAGAGTCGGGTGGTCGAAATGAACTTACTGTAAAACAGTGGCCATTCTTCTGGGTCGCCTGAGAACTGTGGCAGCTCCGTGGAGCATGTCTGTCTTGCCAACAGCTTAGTCATTTTCTCCTCTAGGCGACTTGTATGAAAGGTAGAATGATGTGGCATAACTGGCGTGGGTGAATGATGACGCTCGACGTGATTAGAATCGGTATGAAAAGTCTGGGTACCTCTGGTTCTTGTTGCCGTCAAAGAAGTGCGTGACTGGGCACGAGATAGATTGCACGCGAGGTACTCTTCGTCTTGCAGCGCCTGCCTCTGTATAGCTAGCTTTTCCTCCAGCAAGCGATTGGCGATAGCGGCTCGTTCCTCCGCGGCTTCAAGCTCTATCTGTAGTAGTCGTTGTCGTCTCACAGTCGACGCAGTGCTCGTGGTAGAGCGGGCGGACGGGCTCGGCGAAGGCGGGCGGCTGTTCCGAATGGACTGTCTGTCGTCGTGCCCATCCTTGTCTGGAACGGCTGCCGTCGTAGTCATAGCCGCGGCCCTTGACTTACTGCGTGTTTCCATATTTTGATTCTGTTTATGCTCGAAGGACCACTTGAACCGTCGTCGTCGTGACGGTTAAGAAAAAGTCAGGGCTTCGTCGGACTGGTTTATTGTCTTAAAACCAATATATAAAACTTTACAATTTCATGAGAAAATTACCGTCGATTGTTCGTCCTCTGTCAAAAGTCAAGTCAAGAAAAACGTCGTCCCGTTTATCGTCAGCCAGTCCTAGTCTATGTCTTTGACCATGCAGGCTGGACGCCGCGACAAACACTAATCATTTAAAACCAATACTTCGGGTCAATAAAGTGGGAGTGCTAAGAAAAAGCAGTGTAGAATGTAGATGTGGTTGAGACCGTCAAAACTGGATATCAGTTAGGTATTACTTGTGACTAGTTAATTTTTTATTAAAGTTACTGAATAATTTTTCATTGTATGAGCTCCACCCAATATTGTGGAAACTGAAAATTGAATTCGCGGCAAAAGTACCGCGTCGATTGGTTTGGTCACCCAAGATCCCATATTGGGTTTCATAAATTAATAATCTAAAGATTGGAAGACTGTATTTTGGCTTTGATGATTTTTGCTTACGGATTATAGAAAATAGGGCTTTACAGAGAAATGGAAATGTTTCTGTAATGTGAGCAGTATTTCACCTAATTTGTGAAGTTTAATATTTTGAAAATAATCGTTTATTTGCTTTCATTTCACGTTGTAAGCACATAAGAATTACCTACTTAGATGCTACCTTTCCTACTAGGCCTAGGGGTTGCATACCGCGATGGGTTTTATCGCGCCATTTTATCGATTTTACGCGATAAACCCATACGTTTGTCGTCTAAAATCATCGATAAGATTTTATCACGGCGCGCATCCTAGCCCGACTGGAGTAGGTACAAGTATACTCTCTTTATTACTGATTAGTTACGTTATCGGCATTGCTTATCTAGATTGTCAATAACGTTGACATTGTCGACAATGCCTTATGTGGAACTATTATAGTTACTTCCCACATTACATGTTTGTAACGCATTAAAACAAAGCAGCATGCCGGTCGTGCGCCGATAAATTGCCAGCGGGTAGTCGCTGAGCAAACTCGGCACGTCACTCAGCGCGGGGCCAGCGATAAATTCGTCTACTTCAGTGCCTCTTCGCGTTAGATACAGAACGGAGAGAACGGCTAGCTTGTTCTGCATAGAACTATGGTGTTCTGGGAAGTAAAAAATATGTCACATACTATCAAAATTCTTCTCAGCATTAGCCTATATGTTGTCCCGAAATGGTGGTAGAGCAAGCTACATATGGGATGTGTCTATGTGCCCTGAAAAGGACATAGATTCTATTAAATACTTTAATGGCAATTCAACACAACCGCAATTCATCTCCACTTTTTCCAGGATTACCACAGTCTACAATGGAATCCTAAATCGTAGAATACAGAAAACTTATATTATCTGCCTGACAATTTATGCCCGTTTGTACCATAAATCCCTAATTTTTAAGTGACCCCTATGGTAACACTTATCAGGAATTTCGTTTTCATAGGGGTTACTTAAAAATCAGGGATCGATGGAAAATATTTTTTCAGTTATTTTATTAAGATGCTTTATTGAGCTGGTTTGTTTCAAACAGAATTGACAGTGTGTTTTATTTGGACTACAATCAGGCCCACATATTTTTTTCCTGCGGAAACGGCCGAAACTCTCGTATGGCACGCAACATCGTGTTTAGCATTCGGATAATGTTGGACCTACATAGCCACTAAACGATGTACTATGCCGGCGGTGATAAACGACGCGTGATATGACTGGTATCAATCATAGAGACAGCCAATTTTGCGAAAGCTAGATCGTGTGTGATATTCAGATTCTTAATCTTATTTTGAATTGCGTGTTATAATGCATTGATTTGTTAAACCAAAATACATTTACAGCTTTCAATTCAAGCAGAATATTATGTACCAATATAAATTATGTACCAACATAACAGTTATGATCATTATGACAATTTGCTTTGCGTGAAACCGTCTCAATTTCAGCCACTCTTGTTTCAATATCATTAGGAACAATCCAGGAATACAACAAAATCATGTACACGTGTTTGTTATATTGAATTAGACAATAAACAGGCGGAAAAATATATTCGTTCTTAAGCGTTATGATGATCCGTAACTAAACAAAAAATATGGTGTAACTAGTAGTTACCTTATCACAATAAATTATATCGCCGAGGCAATGTCGTTTTTTGTCGTGAAATAACACGTCGTACTTCAAAATGGTTTATTGTCTTCTTTATTTTCATTGTTCTTACTTATTCTATCTATTACCGTCTGAATAAGGGATTGATTGCATTAGAATTCCGTTCCCATTTGTTAAATTACCTGAATAATTCGGTTAGATCTGATTTTGTCCAAAAAGTGTCCGACCTAATACTTGTCAGCTCTGTTTTTCAACATATTTTGACTGACAGTTCATCCACTTATTGTGAACTATCTCATTCTGCAATCAGGTACATTTGATATCTCAAGAAAATGCTAGTCATCGGTAGGGGTTTCTTTAGTATTCATATTATTTGGGTTTTTAACAAGAAGAGATCAAATCAGAGGACAAAAATTTCAATTTAAAGCGTTTGAAAATTTTAGTGAAGATTTTAAAACCTAGATACTTAAGTTCTCATGAAAATTTTAAAGAAAGTTACCCAGTAAGATCCAGATGAGTCAATGTCAAAGCTACACTGACCATTATAGAATTTAATGAAACTTGCCAATTACTCACTGTTCTTAAGAACACCGATTGCTTGCACCTCCAGTCGGATACTTTCCTGACAGAGTCCGTATTGTGGCCATCATAAATCGAGGCTGGGCCGCCATATGTTCAGTGATAACCCCCGTTACTCTTCCCGAACGAATGGCTGGGTTCCCGATCGCCGCAAAAAATACTGCCGCCACTCCATAGTTTATGTCTATGTCTTTAGGATAGTTCGTTAAGAGCCATCTGGCCGATACTACAGATTTATTTTATTGTTGTCAAGGTGTAACTGTTGAAATGGACGATACTGTTAGCAAAAATGTAAAGCAATTTTTCACGTTTAGTGGCTTTAGGAGTCCGTACCATTAGATAGTTCTCTTAAAATGATACCATAAAATGTCATATCGTATCTTTGGATTAATTTCTCAATTACTTACCTCAAATGTTACTTAATGCAGTAACATTTACCTGCTAATGATTATAATCTACATGACTAATTAATTCAATTTACTCCTGCGTTAACTATTGAACAATATTATAGGAGGATTCAGTAAGCTCGCATGAAGCTACCTAAAAATTATAGATCTTTTTAGTCGAGTGACATGTAACAATAAAGTATTAAACAGTCGTTCTGGTCACATCTGGATGGTACCTGATGGTGTCAAAAAGTTTGAGTCTAGATTTCCAAGGAAGAGGTAAAGGAAAAGGGATAATAAAACACAAGCAAAATACCCCAATACTAAATATTATGTAAACTTTTCGTAGCCACTTCATTGGATGTTAATTAGAGACGATGGGAATTGGCATTTCCTTACATAATTCGAGAATGTGATGTAGGTACGATAAACACATAAAATTCGTGCAAATCTCAGCTTTGCATTCAACCCGCTACCCCACTTATCTCCGCTCATTACTTCTTCGCATTGGGAAGATACTTTTCCTGTTACAGCACCCATTTCCGCACATCTACATATTTCTCCTCTCCGTATTGAGAAAACTGGGCCAGGCCGTCTTGGCTTCCAATAACCTACAGTTTTACAATTCTTTAGAAAATATTTTATTCGCTTCTTGATTCGAGAATACTTAAAAGTTTTTTTTTTTCGGACTGACTAATAGTCAGTGACTATGCTGATAGCCGTGAGCGGCATTCTCAGCTTCACCGGGCAATAGGTGAGCGCAGATGGCTCTCTACAACATTCGCCTACATTTCGGCAATATTAGGCAAGGCACTAATCCACAAATTGCCCCGATAAATGCTTAATTCGGATCCACAATTAAAACAAATCACATCAGATAGAGCTAAACTCGTAATTACATTAATGAGCGCTATTATTTAGTTTAAGCACGTTTAAGTGTCGTTTGCAGTGAATACCAGGTGATCAGTCTTCTTTACAGTGAGTTTGAAAATTTAAGGAATTGTAGTAGTTTGTAACTACAGTTTGTCTTTGAATTTAGGTCGTTACTTATTAAATACAATTGTCATCAAAATACGACGTAAGCAAAACGTGCCTGCGATGTACCTATTTCTATTGAATGAATTTATTTGTCTCAAAATGGGTTACAAAAGACACACGTAGATAGTACCTACCTTTTTACCTAACTCTTTGTATTTTATTGTTGGACTTCTGTTATTTGAAATTGTTATCTGTTGTAAAGATTCCCTAGTATCGAATTTCTTGTTATTTCAACGAAATAATTTTAGGATCCTGTATCAAACTTTAATCAACTTATGGCTACGTATTAAATTTCACAAAGTTCTTGAAATTATGAGCTTAACTTCCGATTATTTCGTTAGAATTAGATTTCCTTGATTAAATCGTAAATAATGTTTTGTGCTTTGCCTTTCGTCTAAAATATTGATTTTGATTGATCAGGTGCGATTGCGATTGTCAAATACCTGCCTTGTCTAGCATAAAAAAAAAAAAAAATAAGTCGGCCGTTTGGTGTAGTGGTTCAGAGCGGACTACTATGCCGAGAGGTCCCGGGTTCGATTCCCGGCCGGGCAGAAATTGAAATTGAAATGATGAATTTTAATTTCTGTGACGGGTCTGGGTGTTACCATGTATAATATGTATGTATTTAAAAAATAAAAAAGTATATAAGTAGTATATCCGTTAAGCTAGCACCCATAACACAAGCATTAAGTTGCTTACTTTGGGGCTAGCTGGCGCTGTGTGAAATTGTCCAAAGATTTATTATTTATTATTATTATTTATTGAGAAGTTTAAGTTATTTGCCGAAATGGAATTCTTATCTGCCTTGTACTGCTACATCGATACCATCTCTGTGACCTGAGAGTTAAGAAATTCAACTCTCTACTCTAAACTAAAGATAGTAAGTAGTTTTCCGACGTGACCTACACAAATAAATTGAAAAATCTTATTTTATGCAATTTTTCCTATTTTGGTTTGGACATTGCAGGCATTTTATCAGTAGGTACAGTTTGAAGGAAAAATATAATTTCGTGTTTAGAGGACATCAAGCCTTGATGAATTGTGGTAGATATCTAGTGCACC